TGAGTTTTCCTATAAATTTCTATCATAATTTAATATACTTGTCTTAACACATTGTTATTAATTTTAATTGTGCAAGGAAGCATACTTGTTTGAAATGTTTTTTCAGAAAAGATTTAATTGGAAAAACACGATATTAATGAAATACAAATCCAATAAAAGAAATTAAAAGTTATGAGTTTAACTTATACAAAAAATTAACATCACTCCAATTTAAAACATTAAGATAATAAATTTATGAATTTTTTATTTTACAAGATAATTTCATCATCTCTACCTAATTTCAATAATAATAAATATAAATAATGTAAGACCCATGAAAAATATTTACCTTAATAATAACAATTTTATTACTAGTAGTAATAAATTTATTTGTGAATGGAAAATATAATTAATAAGCTTATATAAATAAAACGTGATAAGTTAAACAAAAATTTACAGTAGCTCAGATGGTAAACATCTTGTAACAAAAAAATACATTTTTGTAAAATAAATAAATGAATTAATAAAATAAAATAAAATAAATAGTAAATAAATAAAGGAAATGGGAAAGTGGACAAGGGAAATCCAAATAGGACCAAAATTTTGGCCTATAAATACTAAGCAAGGGGGAGGGGAATTTTGCACCAAGAAGTAGAGAGAGAACATAAGAAAGAAAGATTATAAAGAATCTACAGTAGAAAGGATTTTAGTGTGGAGATTATGGAAGTTTTCCGGGAACAACCTTTGATCAAGAAACTAAGTCTGGAATAGAGGTAGGTGAGCTAAACTTTCTAAGCTTTTATATTATGATTTAGTATTGTTTTATTACTATTCATGTCTTGAAATTCTGTGTGAATATTCTTAATGAAAAACATAGGTGTTTGTTGTATTGAATTTCTGTGTTAATATTATATGTTGTTGTTTTGAATATGTAAATAAGAAATTTGTTAAAAACTAGTTGATGAACACTTTGGCTAAGGAAAGACTTAGTACTTAAGTTGTCCATGGTGACACACCTCTCTTTCCTGGAAGTCTACTCGATAGGTTTTTAACTTAAATCCTATTGAACAGATTAAGTATTGTTAAACTATTATGCAATATACTCAATTGATATAAAATATGTGATGGATTCATCTTTCTGGAAGGATAAGAAGATGTCTAACCGGCTGTGCCAGATTCAACTTCTTAGTTTCCCAGAACGTTTATATTAAGGTTATATTTGTGATGGTAGGATAGAGAAATCTTAAAAACCGGAGTTGTTACATCCCTGATCATAGAGCAGCCCTGGTCAAATCCAGTAAATTATGACTAGTCATATGTACTGACGTTTATGGTGAGTTTGATTCGTCAAACATTTGATTCTTCTCCGGTGACCATTTATAGTGATATTTTAGTATTGTTAATTTATTTTGTGATATATTCATTTTGTATGATTTTTGTGATGATTGTATTTTATTATATTGAACTTGAATTTATGCATCTGAACATGATATGAGTATTATGGGGGATATTTTGTAATGGTATAATATGAGTTGAGGAATATGAGCATGGTATGAGTCTCGTGGAGAGATTCTGTAATGATATGGTATTAGTGTATATGTTGATGTTGAGGGTCCTGTTGTGGGAGGTTATCCTGATACTCTAATAATCATTCAGTCTCAAGTAGAAAAGGATGAATTATGTGGGAAGAGGGGCAGGAGGTCCTGGTCTATGTGCCGGTTTTGGACATAGTGTTGAAGACTAACCTTGTGGATGGTATGGAGTATTTTGGAAGTGTGTATGTAAGAAGAAGTAGAAGTCATCACAAGTGCATAACCTCCCATGACCGCTCGTCAACGTATCATCCGAATGAGTGTCTATTGAGTATTGTGGAATGAGTGTCTATTGGGTATTGTGGAATGAGTGTCTATTGAGTATTGTGGGATTAGTGTTTATTGGATATTGTGGGATGAGTGTCTATTAGGGATTGTGGTATGATGAGATGAGTATCTATGGTGCGATTGTTGTATGATGGTATGAGGGTATCAAAGTAATTATGCATGTTTTATAAATGATTTGTTGCATGTTAGCTCACCCTACTTGTTTGTGTTTGTTTTTGTGCGTGATCGTATAGTTCATTATACGGGGAGCAGATGAAGGAATGTCGTCTGATTCAGTGCCAATGAAGAAAGAGATAGAAGAATAAATTAGAAGAATTCGAGTTATATTAATGAGTTTGTAGTTGAAATCTGAGTTTAAAACATATATACATATCAATTATGAATTATCAAGTGTGAGATTATGAGATATTACCTTAAATGTAATGTTACGATATATCAATTATGAATTATCAAGTGTGAAATTATGGAATGTTAGAGATGATTACTTTGGGTTGAAAATATAATGTTTCATATCATATACTTTGCGCAAAACTCTTTTTGTTAAAATTTTCTTAGTAGACTAGGAAGATTGATCACCTTGATAATTTTTTCTTTGTATAAGTTGAATTTTACTACATGTTAAAAATTATGTAATTGTAGTTGGGTTTATGACAACAAAACTTAATTGTTTTCGTCTGAGCTCGACATTAAGATAAAGTATATTAACATCAATGTTGGGATTTTTTTTTTCTTGAATAGACTGAGAAGATTGATCAACTTTAAATAATGAGTTATTCATATAAAATGATATTCCATTGTTTTTAACATAAAACATTAAGACCTAATATTTATGGATATTGTTTTTCTTATATACTACTCAAATTTTTTGATTTTATTCAATATCAAACTTTAAATTTATACTTAGATTCTTAATATTTTAAAATATAATCCTAAAAATAAATTTACGTGTTACACTAGGATATTTATCATTTGTTTTAGCCGTGAATGTTAAAAATAATATAATAATATAGTCGTCATAATTAAAAATACGTCTACCACATTACTATTTAGATGTCAAAGTGAATAATGTTTGTAATGTCCATTACTCTGGAAAGATTAATTTAGCTTTATTTATATATTAAACGCATATGCATGGGAAATTTGTGAACGAGAGTATTTAAAATCAGGATATTTTGAGAATATTTTTTTAATAATATTTTAATATTATCTATGTGATAGATTTATGTTGATGTTTATGATTATTATTATTAATTATGAAATAATTTTATATCAATTACAAATTTATGTTGATGTTTATGATTATTATTATTAATTATGAAATAATTTTATATCAATTACAAAATAACATGTAAATAATGTTAAAATGTTATAAAATAAATATTATCAAAATAAAATTATCCCTAAAATACAGCAGCAGTACATTATGTCAAAATCAGAACTCAGCATCGTTGTTCCCACAGAATCAGTCTCTTGCCAAACCAAACAGATAATATTTGAACTATTGCAACACGCAATATTTCTGCAATAATTCTCATCTATGAGATTCATTGTCACTTCTTCTATACACAAACACAAATCAATTACTATAAATCGTACGTACGTAGTTGTTAAACTTATCACATGCCACAACAACTTAATTGATTCAGTTTTACTCAATCAATTTTACATATTCTCAAAGTTTTATATTAATTATATTTTTGGTGCTAGAAAAAATATAATAATATTTCACTTAAAGAAAATATATAAAATTAAACTCTTTAATTTAATCAATAATATTTTCTCATCCAACAAATATCAATGTACGTGTTAGCATGTGATTATCTAAGTTTATTACTAAATCGATAATAAATTAATTCATTGATTTATTAATCAATATTAACGTCTAACAACACTCTTTAACAATTGTATAATATAAAATATCTTTTATTTTAGAATTACTAGAAGGTTAATTTATTGTTTTCTTCCATCTTTATTATTGTTTTCTTCCATCTTTATAACTCTAAGTTAGAATATGGTATAATTGTCAATTTTTAATAAATTAAATAAAAATTAACATATAATTAATGAATTAAAAAATATCTTTCTTCTTTAACTCATAACACTCAGGCCAAAGTTTTTTTCATTTTGCTTAAACTCATTTACCATATATATGATTCTTTATTGAATAATCACTAATTCTACATGAATTTAATAATATCCAATAATCATTCAATTAACATTACGAAGTGTTATACGTTCGATATAAAAATATAATAAACAACTTGTTAAATAATTTCAAATATAAAGAAAAGTTATATTTTTTTTCAAAAGAATTTTTCATGAACTTTTTAAAGGTAAAAGGAATTTACGAATGAGTTCAATGATCATATACCATTTATATGAGTAATTAAAAAAAAATTAAAATACACATATATTGACCTCGTCTGGTATCCCAGTTAAATTATTAATTTGACTTAATGAAGTAATATTTCAGGGTCGACAAATTTAGTTAAAAGCCACAATTTGATTATGTCAATCTCGTTTCTTTCACATGCCTTGCATCCGTTTCTTTTTATGTGATAATTAAAATTCGTTTTATTCAAATAATAAAATTAATCTTGACATAACTATTTTTTAACAATTAGAGTACATATCTAGCTTTATTCCATTATGTGAATGTTATGAATGTACTAGATGTTTTAATTTTTGTAATTAATAAAATTTAAGTTTGATTTATATGAGCGAAAAACAATTAAGCCAATTGAAAAAATATCCCACGTAAAGGGGCGAGTTAGGTTTTAAAAAATAAACTTTTATGAAAATAATTTTTTTCAAAAACGATAAAATGAATTTGGTTTTGTAAAGATGTAGAGAGAGATATTTTCCACCACTTATAGCAATCACATAGCAATATTTTTCAACCAATACGCGTTGTGTCCCTTTATGTATATATTATATATAGACACACCAAACCTACCCTTATTCTTCCACTTACCATCTAATTCCAAAATCAAATTTTCTCTCACCTCGTTCCTCATTTTCCCTTTCTTTATCCTTTATATTGGATGTTAAATTATATTATTATTATTATTATGGACATATTTTCTAGGTATTGTAGTTTATATATAAATATTTGATTCTTCTCGTAGCACTTCACCAATCTTTGCATATACCTTTATTTCTTCAAAGCACTTTTCCTTTACCTTTACCTGCTATGACTCCTCAGAGGGATTGATGTTTAGATTTGATTCGCAACGATGCTTCTCTTTTTCTTCTCCTTCTTACTGGGAAAGCATGTTCTTTCATTCGCTTGAATTTAAAAGAACGTGTCTTAATCCCAACATTTCTTCCAGTTTTCCTCGATCTACGGTTTCTTCTTAAAGCATCATTTTTTTGTTCTTTTTGGACACTATGTTTTTCACAGGTGTATTACTTTTTCTTTTTTTTTTTTTCAATTTGGTTCTTGAGGAACGAGTTCATCCACTGAAAGGTCCTCGTTTACCGAAATCAAACATGAATTTGCGCATAAAATCTCTATTTTTCTCTTACCCACATCTCGTGCTGTCATTAATCTGTACTCGTAATTAATTAGTCTGTATGTAATATGTTCCCTTTTGCAGTTTGTGTTTGGAAAATTTTCCGTTAGATTTGGCTTTTCTCTGTGAAACTTGTGGCTTTTGTTAAGTAGTTTTGGATGAGGGTGGCAAAATGATATCATAGGTTGTCTTCATAGTTTGTTTAAGGAGGTTTTGTTGGTAGCTATAGATGCATGGAGAGTTTGCCAGTCGTTATTTGCGGATGTAGCATCATCAAGATTCACATGCAAACGCAGGTGGGTGGGACTGTGATGCAATCTGAGAGCTGTAGGCCAACCATGCCATAGGTCTTTTGGAAGTGAGAATCTTGATGATGCTGCATCAGCCATAAACGACTACTTTCAAAAGTTGGATAAGGACTATTCTAATAATCTCAACAAGTGGGCCAAAAATATATATAAAAAAAAAGGAAAAAAAAGAGAAATGAGAAACATTTGTTGAGGTATACTCACATGACACAGGAAAACAAAACCCCCTTCAGACATGATCTGATCTGCGCGTTTAAACCGAGAGTCAACCTTTCCCACTTTGCTTTTTGTTGCTGTCAGGTGGGTTTTGCTGTTTTAACATTTGATTTTTCAAATTATGGTACTGCTAATTTTTTTATTTCTACATTAATGGATATAGGTATGGTATGGCCTTGCTTCCAGTGCTTTCTGAGTTCTGTCTTTTTATCTATTTATTAATTTATTTATAACTGTTGTTGTTATCATCACAATTTGTAGCTTGCTTTACATTAATTAGCTCTTCTGTGTTTTGCAGACAATCCTAGGTTTTCAAGTATAGGCTATTTGGAGGCCGAGAGGAGCGGCTGCTGGGTCCTTTATATGTGCTGACTTCACAGATCTATGATGAATATTCCTTTCCAACAGAAATGCTGGGATCTAAATGGTGTCTTTTCAGTTTCTAAATATAGATGCAGATACCACTTTATCCAAATTCGGAGAGAATGTTAGAGACTCAAGCACACAGAAAGTTAAAATTATTATTTGGAATTTAGGGTGTACTCAGAAGCTAGTGTTGATGCTCATAAGTGACGGTAACTTTTACTTTGATGAGATTTTTCGCCTTTAATTAGATCTACATATATCTTCAATGCTATATAGCTAACTATATTATATAGTAAATAGTGCACTGATATTCAAATCTTATGCAATTTCGAGCATATAGAGTGAATAAAAACGAGATAGGATTTTTCTTTGGCTTTGGTATGAACAATGTTGAAGGCTTTGGCTTTAGAATGAACCAATAATCAGTTGTAGCTGTGGTTGGTGGACCAAGGATTTCACACAAGTTGGACTCTCTAAGGTACCCTTTCTGTGGGAGAGATGTTTCAGTGCATCTGTTACTTACCTCCCTAGAAATAATGCTCAAAGTTAAATAGTACAAGTTATTTTATAGAATAAAATAAAAACACATATATGCTTATATACCTTCATTATTCATGATAGCGATCATTCAGTATATTCAAGATCTTATCTTATGGAAATCTGTGTGCCCCCATCACTGTCCAACTCTTGGTCATATTCTCGCTGCTCCATCATTATGAATATGTTGTGTACACTGTCTTTGCCCGAAACAGCTTGCCCTATTTCTTTGTAGAGAAGGCTGTGGATCATACATGCATCAGGCCCACTCATCTTCTTGTTCTCTCTCTTCATTGATAAAGCCATACAATTTTTGTGGCCTTTTTATTACATTGATAAGGGTAGTCTCTCCTATGCAATTAGGTCTCCTAAACTGTTGTGTGTGTTTGTGTTTTTGTATTTAGGATATGCTGGTAATTAATGTAGAGTACATGTTTCAAGCTATAGCTAGTACTTTGGTTTTTTTTTTTCTAAGTGCACGAGGGAGAAGGACAAACTGGTTTAATAAACCTGACTGAGTACATAAATTTACTTTTTCCTCGAATAATATATATACTTGAAAAAGAGCATGAGAGTATGCATGTGATGAATCTGGTTTTATTATTTAATCTTTGGCTATATTTCTATTGAAAGTGACAGACAGATAATGCACTAAGTACATGCTTAATTTCAGGGAGCACATGGATCATTTAAATCCTTGTTTTCAGGTGATCATTTAAATTGAAAAAACAGTTTCTTATAATTTAGGGAGAAATGGATCGATCACGTACATGGGTTTTTTGCAACTCCCTATTGCATGTATATTTCCTCCTTATAGTACTATTTTTCAGCATCCATTTCATTGAATCTACAAGCTTCTTTTAGTATTTTATGAATTCATCTGCTTTTTATAATCCGTGGCTATCTAGTTGCTGAACTAGATAGCTGATTGATACAGTGTGATATTGCTGTCATGAAACAAGACCAAACATTAATAATAGAAAAAGAGATTCAAGAAATACCTGTTAAACAATGTCTTTTTTGAGGCATGATGCATTCACTCATTCTGGCCAATGTAGCAATATTTGAAACAATTTACTCAGTTTTCTTAGTTTTAATTTCCAAGGAATACATTTGCGCCTTTTGTTTCTGTTTAATTAAAGTATTCATGTATAAGATAAATTATTTTTGTTGACTAAAGCTTTTCATAGAAAAAAGAAAAACATTTATCATATTAAAGATTTACAATATAAAAGCCAGTTAATATTCCTTAATCTTTCGAAATGGTGCAAAGGATAAAATATTAATATATGATAATGCTATCTAACTGCTACTTATGTGCATCTGAATATCTATACTTGCATGATCTGATGGTATTTTGATTTTTATTAGTTACACACTAGTATAGTAATAACCTTCAACTATGTATTTTGTTCACATCTTTTTCTTTCTGTCTTATTTCTACTGAGATGTATAACATGTACATTTCAAAAAACTTCTTGTCCGTGCTCATTGTTCAAACAATATTTATCAACTCAAGATCAAATAAATTGTAAGACTCGTATTTCTGGTGTTAACCTTAAAGAAAAACATGAAATTTTGAAGAGAATATATGGGAAACCCTAAGTATACCGACAAACTCTGTACTTTATTTTTACAAAAGGAACCGTTATCTGAACCAAAACTCTAATAATTGTAAAACACATAGGTTAATTCATGGTTGGGCTTATGCTAAGCGGCATTACTGATGAAAGAAATTCTGTGTGAATTACTTAACTTGTTAATAAATATTACATGGTTGAACTTCTTTCTATCAAATTCCCTGCATTGAACAGTATTTGTTAACTTGAAATTACATCAGCGATGTGCTTATAACGCTGGCAGCATCTTTCTCAATTGATATCCAAAACTAAGAATATTAACTATCTGTGGTAGTAATGTGTAAGGTTTATGAATGTCACAATTTCACTGTTGCTAAATTTTCAGGCAGAAGTAGCACGTGAGGATAAGTTGTGGCTTCTGCGTCAAAATGGACATAATCACATGCCACTGTGAAGTACAGCATACATTGCTTCCATTATTGAGTGTGTGGTTGTATTTCCTTTGGCAAGGAGAAAAACAAATGGAATCCTTTCAGTTTGTCTGCAATATTCTATATTCTATAGCTATCATGAAGGATTCATTTGTTTGAAGTAAGATGCTATAGCACACTGTTTTGTTTGACCCTAAGTTTTATATACTTTGATATGTGGTACAAAATGTTCTGACGAGATTCCCGTATCACGTCATGTTGCTGAGGTACACATTGATTTTCATGCAAACATATTGTGGAAAGGAAGAACTGATATAGTTCTTCAGCTTTTACTATTTTTCGCCTTCAAATCTTCAATTGCTATTCTGTAAATATGAATATAGAGATAGACATATTTGACCACGTTTTCTCTATTGGAACTATCTGCTGAGTGAAGTGAATTCTTTTTTTCACATCATTCATATTGGGATCTATCATTGAAATAGTGACAAGATTTAGACAGTCACATTTTTCCCTTGTATATATGATCAGAGATTTTGAGTAATGTTCTTCATTGTATGTAATTTCATGCATGGTTAGGTATTATGATTTTGTGTGGATAAACCTGTCGAGAAGAAAAAAACGAAATCATGAATAACTGATGTAGTTTTGCTTTTGTAAAAGATTAATTGGTTGAATAAGGAGAACTTCTGGGGGTGTTAAATGCACATGTTCATTATCATGTAATTTTATTTTAGTTTTGATAAATTATTATCATCTGAAGAAATATATTTAAGAATTTCGAGAATGAATTTAATGAATAATATTAATTAGGTCGTTGAAATTGGCAACTGGTGAGAAAACCAAAGAGTGTAGTAGAAGATATGTTTCAGTATCTGTTCAGACAGGATGGATCAAACACGGGAATTAGTGTTTGCAATGCACAGTAATTACAGACTTAGTTCTAAAAAGCAGAGTCCATTAATTAAAGTACGATTATTAACAATTAGAATCGTCGAAACATAAATTCATGAATGGTTGTTTTAATTTTGAAAAAAAAATGTTTTAATATAAACTTAAAAAAAGGAGAATTCAGATAATAGCAGTTTAATTTAAATGTATCGTACATACGTATTTTTTTTATTATATATTTTTCACGTATATTCAAGTAAAACAGTCGACGCTTAAATATATTTAAGAGCATAAAATTTAAGTATGTGTTTGAATTCTTTCGTCCAAATATTATCCGAGTAGTTTTATTTTTTATTCTTCAATTTTCTGAGCTAGGTATTATTCATGTAATATTTTATGCAAAAATTTATATAATGTAGTTTGTGAGTGTTATTTTGTGGATTAAATAATTTATTACGTTTAATTTTTCTTATTTAAAAAAAAAGGAAAAAAAGGTTGGAGTAGGTTTAAGGCTGAGTTCACAGAGTCTGACAGAAACTACTATCAGCCTCGGAGTTGTCGCTTGCTTGCAGGACAGTGGTAGCATGGAAGCCAAGCTTTTCTGTACTACTTACTTACTCACCTCATAACTTTATATTATTATTATTATTAGTATGGATTATATTCTTTTAGATGAGAAATAATATTTTTACCTAAATAAATTCTTTATATTTATTTGATATTATTTTTTATTTTTTAAATACAAATATTTATTTTTTATAATTATTTTATTTTTATGTGTCAAGTAAATGTATTATGTCAGACCTCATTAAAAACACATTCAAAAATCCTCTGAACGGACGATAGGTGTCAAGCGAAGAGGATTCGGAAATCATATAGTGGAATGCAGGTGTCGGCAGATGAGTGGACGCTCGTTTTGACGTGGGAAGCAAAACTTGATTTTCAAAAAATTCAAATATTAGGCTTTGCATGAAACGTATGATGAAATTTATCTTGTGTGTTTGTTTGTGTGAAATGTATGTTTATACATGAATTAGTTTATATAAGCTTACCCTGTGTTTCCTGTTTTGTCTGTTTTGTACGTTTGTCTTTGTCATTGTAATGATCATCCGTTGTGGATGTGAGCAGAAGGAGACGAGCTGCTGGAAGAGGCACTGGAAGAAGAAAACCTAATCGAGGTAGAAGTTAAGACAGAACAGTAGAACATTCGGTCAGTAGTTTCATATGATAGTAAGGTGATCGTTCGATCACCTTCTCCTTTTGTTTTTCCTTGACCGTTCGGTATAAATTTTTGTAAACCGTTTGGTCATGATTGTTTATCTTGTACCGTTTAAATTTGTAACTTTTTCTGTAAGACCGTTCGGTCATAACCGTACGTTATCTTTAAATGTAAGACTGGGCTGTAATATTACTTAATGTGATTATTCTATTATATATAATTTTAGACTGTATTTTTGGGATGTTACATATTACTTTATCATTTATTTTTTAAAATTAACAAAAAGAGTTATTTTTAGTTAATTTTTCTTTTTTCTTTTGAAGTTGATAAAAGTGATTTTATATGTTATTTAAATAAAGTTTAATTCTGAATTTATGTTAAAATGTGAAATTTTGTGAGTGTAATAATGAAGATGAAGTTTTTAATAATAATAATAATAATAATAATAGAAAATTGTTCGTGGTACGAAGGTGAGGCTTATCATACTCTGGCAGAGACAGACCAATGAGGATCCAAATTTTGGAAGCAGAGTGTTCTTTCTGAGCAGATTTGGCATTATCATGCTCTCTGCATTTCTACTTCTCAATAATGCAAGCTTTTCGAATTTGCTTTTCCTTTTCTTTTTCTTATTATTTTACCTTTTCTCCTCACACAAACTCCCACTACCACTTATAGGGATATAATTCAATAATTTCCTTTATTTTATGAAAATGTTTCAACATTTAATAATCAGGCTATGATACAAGTTATTTTACAAGGATATGTCTAACCTAGCTGACTCGCATTGTTTCAAACCACCAATGATATATTTCAACTTTGATGCTATAGGTCATTTACAAATGTTTTATTAAAAAAAGAAGAATAGAATTATGATTTTGGAAGGAGGTGCTCATAAAATATTTGTTATAGATCAACCACTTTTGTTTGTTAGAAATAAGAGTAAAAAGTAAATTTTAGTTATTTATTTAATCTTTTCATCATTCAAATAAATGAGCCTACTTGATTTTAAATTCTATATTTTCATTTCTATTTTTTTATTGTAGTGTTTGAAAAAGAAATTAAGAGAAATAGTAATTTTTTAAGGTTTTTTATATATACTTGTTTTTTATTTCTATTTTAAGAGATGGTGTTATTATTTTCTGTTAAAATTAAGATTGTGATATTTTTTTCTTTTTATAATCATTACATTTAACGACTATTACATGTGTTATTTTTTGTATCTGTTGTGAGTTATTACTTTATTTCATGATATTCAATAATTTCACTTTTTTTAAACACTGTTACATTTCAGCCTTCACCTAAGATGTTATTCACATTTAAAAATACATACATACTTTTTAGTTTTTTTTCTTTTATCTCCATCCTTATTGTGTTACACCATTACACAATAAACCAGTAAGAAAATATAATGTTAATAAGACTTGTAACATAATTGTGTAAAAAAAGAATAAATTTATCGTATATTATAAATGACATATAGTTCCTCGTAAACATGATGGATTTTCTTTTACATGTCCATTTATTTCACTCATTTAAATCATATATTGAGTTTTAAGGATCTTAAATATTGGAAATTTAAATATAAATATAAATTTTATATTGAATAAAAACAAAATAGTATATAAAAATAGAGATAAAAATTTATAAGTTTATTATCTTAAAATTTTAATTTAAAAATAGTGCTAATTTTTTTATATAATTAGATATATATAAATTTAGATAAAAGAGAAAGTTTGGGTAATAAGAAAAAATGTGTGAATAATTTAATGAAATGTTGTAAAAGTATGATTCTCTGGTAGATTGGAGGAGATGGGTTGGTGGTTGGTCTGAGTAAGAGTAATGATTATGATTACGTGTAAGGCATTTGGTCCCCACTTGTCGTACAATGTGACCCATCAACTAGATCTCTCTGTACCTCAATATCTATCGTCTTTATCTTCTTTTTTTTATTTTATTTTCCTTACAATCTCTATTTTTTTATTCCGTTAACTTTTTTATTTTTAATCTCTAATCTTTTAATTATTCACACGTTCCAAGACTACCTTCTATAAACAAACACCTAAAAATATCACCCTTTACTTTCCTAATTCACATTTATGATTCCTTTCAAATTTTGGATTGATCCATGCTTCTCATACCTTCACTTTTAATTTACATTTAAATTACTATTTCATTTTATTTATATTTATTATTATTATTATTATTATTCTAATAGAATACTTTATTAAATGTAGATAAGAAGTGGATGTCAAACAATACTTTTTTCCTAAACCTAAAGTTCCTGGACGTAAGTACAAACTGATTTCATCAAAATTTTCTCTTTTTATTCCATATCTTTAATAAGTGTTTTAAAATAATAAGATTAATTATTTTAATATTAAAAAATTCAATAATATAAATATAATTTTATAAACTTTTTATAATAAAAAATAAATATAATTTTTTAATATTTTTTTAAAATTTCTAATTTTTAAGTTATTTTTTTGACGATAAGGAAATATCTATGTGATCACAATAATGATATCTACAACATCATCCGATCAATTTTCTTTATAAATAAGTTAGTTTATACTCTTTCTTCTTTGATTTTCAGTTTAAGACACATGCATATAGATTTGAATGTATGTGTCATTTAACCTTTTTTTTTAGTTTTTTGTCTATCAATAGAGAGATTTGAATGTATCTTTAAGGACCTACCCTAATCATAATTTTATGGTTTGTAGATATAGATAGAGTTACCTAAGTAAAGGTAGGGGTAATTTGTTTTTTAGAACTGTTTGAGCTTTCCAACAAGGTAAGAGAAGCTAAAATTGCTTTAATTTTTTGTCAAGAATGAATATATGTTTGATAGGATGTGAGATTTATGTTTTGGTAAATGTATTATAAATTGAGAATTTAAGAGTGATGTTTGTGTATGTATGATTGTAAATTGGTAAGGACCTAATTCAACAAATATTTTAAAAAAAAATACACTAGTTGACACGTGACACTTCTATAACAGTATTAATATAAAACTAGATTGTGAATTGGTATAATATATTTAAAAAATAAAAAACACCACCAACTGACACATGACACATGACACCTTTTTAACGGTATTAGTATAAAACTAATAGTAAAAACTAATTTATTTTAATTTTTCAAAAATAAAAAATCAATTAAAAAAAATGATAAATCTATTTAAAAAAAATTACCGATATAAATGAATAAACCTATAATTAACTA